ATCACAGTAGAGAGAAAAATTGGTTGGAAAATAAATCTTCATACCCTAAGAATCACAATTTTTCTTTGTTCCTCTAGACATGGTCATACAGTGGCATAAACTGCAAATCCCAGGATTCCACTGAAGCCATAGCAGTTCAAGAAGAATGATAGTGTTATAATAGTGTAGTGTGATATGGGTTTCCCAACACTACTCCACCCCCTTTTTGTGTTTTTTTTTTTCACTCAAGTCTTCAAATTTTCTTCCCATCACTACTCAGGAACACCATTAACTTGTACTGAAGTAGGATGGCAATCTGGGAATCTCATATGAATCTCCCATTCCCTGCAACAGCTGCCTGTGTTGCCTGCATTTCTGCTCATGCACAGCTGTCAGAGAAAAATAACACTGAAAATCCCATGGCAATCTAACTTTTTATATAAGGATTTATATACTGGGGGGAAAGCAGTAGTAAACTTCCTCTGAACGAACCTTGCCAAGAAAATCCCGTGATAGGTTTGCTTTAGGGTTGACATAAATCAGAAATGACTTGAAGGCAAACAACAATACCACACTTCAAAAGAATTTTTCTAGAGTGGGTTTGCAACAATTGAAAATAAAACACAACCACTTAAGAATATTCTGAACAATAGACCAGGAGCAGCTGGTGGTGTCCATGGAGCTTATCACATGGGGTAAAAAAGGCATCTTACCTTTTCCAGGAAGCACCTGGGTACTATAATATGTAAATTGCCACTGAATCCACTGGCCAGATATGGCCCAGGTAAACTGTGGCTCCAAGCTGTGCTGAGCCAGCAAATATTTGAAGTCAGAAGCTTCCATTTTCCAAAAAGGGCAGGCTGAACACGGCTTGGAGCTGCAGTTTACCCAAACTGTATTCAGCCACTGGATTTGGCAGTGATTTATTTATTTTAGTACCTGGCTGCATCCCGGAAGTGGATTCAAGCCAGAAAAGGTAAGACACCTTTTTTACCCCATGCAATAAGCTCCCATGTCAATGAAGTGGCAAATCCACTCCAGATTTAATCTGAATTTAAAGTAGCTGTCAACTGTACTAAATCTATTTTGGGAATTGGGTTCAGCATCTTGGTTATCTCCTTTAAAGCTTGGGAAAAACTTATAGTAAATTCACCATCACAATGACATGTGCCACACAGCTGTTAGTACAATAAACTGCTGCTCCCCATGAACATGCTCTTTTTATATTTAAAATGCTCACAGTGGGCCCTCCACTTTTGGTAGGGTTAGGAATACAGAACCCCTGTGAAAGTGGGAAAACTATGAATAAAAAAAACCCCACTATTAGGGATTGCAGACTGCCAGAAAAAGTGCAAATTCAGTCCACTTTTAGGGTTAGGGTTAGGGTTAGGGAATCATGGGAACTGTAGTTTATTGTGGCACTAGAGCTCTCTGACAGAGAAGGCTCAATGTCTCAGAAAAAAAACAATCCCCATGATTCCCTATCTCTAACCCTAACCCTAAAAGTGGACTGAATTTGCACTATTTCTGACAGTCTGCAATCCCCCTTTGGGCCTCAGCACACGGAGGCCCTGGAGCCGCCGCCGGACGGAGCGCCGGCGGTGCGGAGCCTCCGCACCGCGGCGCACCGTCGGCGCATCTAAAAGGAGCACCAAATTGGCGCTCCTTTTAGATCTAAGGGAAAGTGCGCCCCAAAAGCGGCGGGCGCACTTTCCCCGGCTCAAACGGCGCAGCGCATGTGGGCGCTGCGCCGTGAGGTCATCCCCAATGCGCCGGTCGTGCGGACGGCCGGCGCATCTGGGGGCGACCTCGGGGAGAGGAAGGGGCGCCGCTCGTGCGGCTGCCCCTCCTCTTCTCTGCCCAGAAGACGACTTTTTTAGTCGTCTGCTTAGGGCCTATATTTTTAAACCTGAGAAAACATCTCTCTAAAAATCTATAGGTCCTCCAGTGCAATGTCTGGTGAAAGTTGGCCATAGAGTCATGCTGAGTGATTCCTAGAGAGAACATATTAATCAAATCTACAAATAACCAAATCCATAAAAGTCAAAGCCACAAATGTGGAGGGATGACTGTAGTTGATAATCAAATGTATATAATATAAAATAAACTTACTAGTGCTTATTCTCAGAGTGGTAGGGATGCTTCTCTTTAATCTATTAGTAGTAATAATTGTAATATAGTAATCAACTCCTGAGGTAAGACTATCAAAGATGAACATTCTGCATAGTTAAGAAAAATATAGTGTTATTAAAGATGTTGAAAGGCTATACAACAGCCAAAGATTAATCAATATTATACAAAATTAGACTATATATAATATGAATGATTAAAATATTTGGATGATTATAGATTGCATGCATCTATCTATCTACACCCACACACTCACACATAAAATGTAGGTGGGGGACTGTAGAGCTCTACATTCTATAATAATTAGTTCATTATCAGGACACACTCAAAAACAGGCAGTGCTATTTTAAAAAGTGACAAACCAAATAGATAGCTAAACTGCTAGACAGACTGATTGATGGAAAGCCAAATACTAGCCATCTACTGCCAGCCATCCAGGCAGACAAAATAGAACTACTTCACAAGAACTATCCCACAGGAATAATATCATATGCAGAATTTGTCAAAACTAGTTCCTTGTAAATGCAGATTTAAGAAGCCAAAAACAGACACACAAAAGACTGGTTTACTTTTCTTCCAAGGATTTGATTTTGGGTGCTTTATAGCTATTGGTTTATTCAATTCTAATCAAGGAAAAAAACAGAGAAGGAAAATGTAGCTTCAATCTGTTTATTTCTTCTAGATAAGCAACACTACATTGCTTTCAGTTTTCTTGTTAATTTATTTAAATACTTAAAATATACCTTCACATCTAACAAAAATACCAATGCAGCTACAGGACTTTTCAAGCTGATAGCATACTATCCAACCATATTAATTAGTAAGAAAGTAATATCTGATCTTCAAACAATACCTTGTATGTGAAGATAACCTTTCTTCTTTGCTGTAGTTCTGACAAGCCAATATAGCAATGTATCCATCAAAGACACCTACTGCTGATGGCCAGGTAACAATTATTGACTCAGAGTTTTTACTGAAATTTATGTACTTAACTGAACTTGGCACTGTCAACAAACAATGTGATTATGACAATTAGCAATATGGTCACATCTCAAAGCCAACATTTATTAGCTCCATTTTATTTATTTATTTATTTATTTATTTATTTATTTTATAGGAGTTATATCCCACCTTTATCCCAAAACAAGATTTAAGGTAGCATCCTTAGATATTCTTAAGAAACAGTCAACAAACAATTGTTGATGGCCTTAAGAGGCTATCAACAATCCTTTAAGGACTAAATCTCTGGTCCCTTATATTTCCCATCGGTTTCTGGTAAGAAATGAGTGAACAGCAAGTGGCATCTTAGAATGATATCCTATAGTTCTTTTTTTTAAAAAAATGCCTTCATCAGGTATATGAAATGAGCTATTAACAGGAAATCATTAAGCATTACCAGTTAACCCATGACACATAATTCTCTTTAACAACTCTTTATAATCATTAGCATCACTCTCATCAAAATCTCATCTTTACCTCCAAACAGGGACCACCATGTCATGTGATAGGATATTAAAAACTGAAAGAGGGAAGGAACTTCCATGTAAGGTTTTTGCATGTTTGAAATGACCATGTGTGACACAAACAAATTTTGTTACCCACTTACCTGTCTCTATTTGTATGCTTACAGGAAGGCTATCTTTGTATCCTTCTTTTTCTGTTTTAACTGTAAAATTATACAGCAAGCCTGGGCTCAAACTGGAAAAGTCTGCCATTTCTTTTTTGACTTTTTGGACCTATATACCAAAAGAGAGGGGGTATTATCCTTGTGTTTTTGTAAGTGTCTGTGCTCAGAGACAGACAACTCTTGTAGTCAACATGTGGTGTCACATGTGATGTGACTTCATTCTTCACATGACTTCAATTACCTGGGGGTTTTGTGGGGTTGGACTATGCATCCAGTCACACACAACACATGCATATTACTTTATCTTACAAATATAAAGTCCAGTACATGCTACAACAGTGCTCCTTACTCTCTGATGTGGCAGATCAGCCTTCCCCCCCCCCCCCCCCCCCCCCCCGGTGTGCCAGGAACAAGTACCATCATTATGCCATTGGCTACAAGTGTTTCTTTCTTTTCTGGAAACTCAACATGAATGAGCAGCCATGGACCACCACTCTGAGTTGTGCACTGCAGGACTTGGCTAGGCTGAAAGGTAGGACATAACACTCTGCAAAGTGTTTGTTCTTCTTTGCTACTTTGTGAACTTGTAGTCCACAAACTAGTTGCAGTTTAGTAACAACACAAGGACTATATCAGGGATAAGAGAAGTGAGTATCTGGATGCATTCATGTATCACAGTTGGAATCTAAACCAGAAACCCATCAGTTAAAGTGTTTGCATAGACTGAGCTCTTTTTTTAAAAATTCTGTAACTCACTTGACAGCAATAACCTGCTTGCTTATATATCATTGTTGCTTTTAAACGTACCATGAAAGTACCTGCACAGTTCATGCATATGACTTCATACTGCTGAAAGTTTCCAGCTGCCCGATCCCAAATAATCTGTATTGAAATATCTGTAACTCTGCCTTCACGTACATTTAGTGGAGCTGCAAGACCTATAAGATATATTAAACATCCACATTACACACAGATATTTTTAATGTCATAAGGAAAAGATGAAGTGGATGAACTTAAGCCCTTTGGATTTGTGCCATTACTCAAATGCACTAACACAGACATTTTACCAACGTGTTTCTGCTACAGCACTCTAATTTATGAGTTATATTTTCAAACCAGGTTTTGCAAAAGCTGCCAGAGTAGCAGTAGAGACAGCATAGAAATATTTTGAATGACAGAAAGCATACTTACCTACTCATCTCTCTACCTCCTTAAGCAGAGCTAGCCAAATTCTTAATTTTGGGGGGTGCCTTTATGTTCAAGTGCCAGCATGGTGTGGTGGTTAGTGCATTAGCCTAAGATTCTGGAGACCAGGGTTCAAATCCCAGCTCAGCCATGAAACCCTACTAGGGGCCTGAACAGACTGCCAGAAATAATCCATCTTGAGACCACTTTAACTGCCCTGGATCAATGCTAAGGGATCATGGGAATTGTAGTTTTTTTCTGCAACATTGAGCCTTCTCTCTCAGAGAGCTCTAGTGCCACAATAAACTACAGTTCTCATGATTCCCTAGCACTGAGCCAAGGCAGTTAAAGTGACCTCAAACTGGATTATTTCTGGCAATCTGTTCAGGCCTTGGATAACCTTGGACAAGTCATATTCTCTCAGCCTCAAAGAAAGGTAATGGCAAACCCTCCCTGAACATATCTTGCCAAGAAAACCCCAGAATAGTGTTGTGTTGCCTTAGGGTCAGAAACAACAAACAAACAACCGCCATGTTTACACAGAATCCCATGATGAGAAAATTCATTGCCACCTTGAATCCCATCCTGGAAGAAAAGTGGGATATAAAATAGATAGCTAGATAGATAGATAATAGATCAATTCAATTTTACCCCAATTCCATTTAACTTTGGCTGGACTACTGAGGATCTTATAACACTCTAGACTAGAGGATCAAATATGCATTCTCCCAAGTTAACCAGCCCTGTCTTTGTAACCATAGTTGTGTTATCACTTTTCAAAATTACTCTTAGGTAAAGTGGACATCGTAACATGCTGCTGAAGCCATCCATAACTGAACAGCTGTAGGATGATATACAGTGGCCTGTTACAGATGGCAGCAGCATATCATCTTGTCAACAATAACCTATTTTTATTCTTGTCAACAAGTTATTTTCTCAGATAAACTGTTATATTTAGTTCAATTCCTGTCTTGTTGATTAGGTTTACCATGTTGCAGTTAGTCCACCATACTGGATATGTGGAATCCCACAGTACAAACCAAGGCGGCTCTTCTTCTAACATTAGCTACCACTACAGCTCATTTCTTCTGTGCACCTGCACAACAGCTATTCAGATTATTCATATTACACCAGGGCTTTGTGGTGATGTACTCCTTGTGATGATATACCACTAATCTGAGAACAGCTGAGGTGGAATGAAGACATCTTTCCCTGTTTTGAATTTCCAAGAACTTCATCTTCTTGGGTAGAATTCAGGAAAATTTGTCAGTATATTGCATCACTGGAAAGTATTATATTAAAAATGTTACAACTGTGTTTATTTATTTAATATCACATCATTCTCCTGACATGGAACCCTAATGCCTCTCACATTGGACGTTATCACA